AGGCAAGGAATCGGTATAAAAGCTGGACTCTGTCTCCCTCCAGAGGTAGAATCGGGTTAGAAAGCTTCCCTGGATAAACTAAGACTCCAATTTTCTCCACAAACACAAACAGTATCTACTTTCATTAGAATTTTGCATTTTTACAAATTCCAACCTATAACGGTTTTAGAGAGAGGATTTGCACTGCAGCCTTATAAAAGCAGAGTATTGGATAAAAGAATGGTAGTGATATTTACAGAAACTTAACACCAAGACCCTGAAAGGTCAGGGCTATGCTTACAGGTTTGGATAAAGTGGGTATTGGTCTCAGCTGGTTGTCTATTAGCTCAGGCACAAGCTCTTCTTAGGCTCCCTTTGCTTGAGTTTGGGGCTGGGCAGAACTTCCATGTATAGTCTAACCTAGTGATTAGAAAACGATGTAAAAATGAGCCCTGCAAGTAGAAAGCAAATGTTTTGAGAATGATGAGGGCAACAAATGTACAAATGTGCTTGACACAATAGATGTATGTATGGATTGTGATGAGTTTTATGAGCCCCCAATAAAGTGATTTTTTTTAATGAGCCCTGGTGGTGTGGCAGTTATGAGTTAGGCTGTGATCCACGCAGTCAGCAGTTTGAAACCACCAGCAGCTCCGGGGGAGAAAGACTGGGCTTTCTACTCCTGTAAACAGTCTCAGAAACCCACAGCAGGTCGCTGTGAGTCAGCACTGACTAGATGACATGGAGCTGGAAGAATGGAATTGGGGTGTGCACGGGAGAGAAAGACAGAATTTGAAATAAATAAATAGGATGCTGACTCAGGAAATCTTACAAAAGTTAGTTTGGGAGCCAATATTCAAGTTTTATTCAACCTCATAAATTATCTAGGTGGATAAATTCCCTTCAGCTCTAAAGTTTTGTAATGTTGTATGGCTGATTCACTTTTGACAAAGGAAGTATACCATGCTCTCTTTCCACCAGCTATAAAATCAAAGGAATACATATGCCACATTTACAAAGAAATATAAATCATTCACTTGTTAATGATTTTTATCTTAGCAAGCTTAGTACTGCAGCCATATTCTGCACCTAGTAATTTAATTAGATTGGAGTGGTTGTTTTAATAAAACTCCATAAACTGCATAAAGAGATTTTCTACTTTAGGTAAGTTCACACTAAGCTTCATCTGTAACTTAGCATATTTAGATTTTGTGAACTTACTTTTCAAGTACAGAATGTGCTTACAAAATATTTCTGCATGTTTAAAACTTGCATAGTTCAAATACTCAATACACGGGGCACAAACATTTAATACTCCTGATACTTAATTTTTGTGTCAATATGGCTGGTCGAGGTTTCTCAGTGATTTGGTATATAATACCTAGACATCCCCATGATCTGACCCAACCCAATGTATTCACTGTCAATCAGCTACAAGCCTCCATAATAGGGTAAGTTTAGGTGGAGGGCAACACCCTTAATGCAGGTCAACAGGTCACAGCCTTAATGCAATTAATTGCCTCAGAGGTATTGCATTTTTCCCAAGTAAGTGGATACATGGGGGATATGGTTGCTTTTTGCTGGTTCTGGATTCTGCATCTGGCTCATTGGCCTCTGTTTCTTTGGTCTTGAGCCAGGGCCTGCCCTATTGCCTGCCTGTTCTGGAAGTCATCAGCAATCTGTCATGGGTTCATTAACAAGTCTGACTTGCTGACCTTGGATTCATGCCCCTCTACAGCTTCCAATGTGTGATCTGCCTGCCAATGATCAGCCTCCACAACTAAGAGAGACAAGAGAAGCCTCCAGTCTAGCATCTGAACCAGGGACTTGGAACCTGCCCGGAAATGGTCTTGCCTGCTTCCATAAATCAGTGTGAGCTATTTTCTTGATATAAATTTCTATATGTAGGCATCACTGGTTTTCTTCTCTAGAGAACACAGCCTAAGACAATGCTGTACACACAAAAATGGAGGCTTCAGTTCACCCAGACATGACCCCCAAAAAAGCCTAGTACCTATTTCCCAAAAAATCAGTCACTGAAAACCCAATGAAACACAGTCGTACTACTTCGAATGTAAAGCTGCCATGAGTTGAAATTGACTTCATGGCAACCAGAAAGTGGTTATGTTTTCAATTTATAAAATATGTGTTAAAGCTATGATTAAATACTTTCCCATTCACCTTAAATTTTTGAGGCAGTTTGTGTTAATCTGGGTACTCTAGAGAAACAAATCCACAGAAACTCATATATAAGAGAGAGTTTTATATAAAGGTTAAGTGCACATCAAGAAAACATCCCAACCCAGTGCTGCCCAAGCCCACAAGTCCAACATTAATCCATATGTCCGACACCAATCCACAAAGTCCTCCTCCATCTCACAAAACACACACTATGTTGCCAACTGCAGGAGGAAAGCTGAATCAGTGAACATGTAAGCGCTGGCAGAGGTCTCCACTTGGCTGCTCCAGCACCCAGGGCTGCTTCGGGGTAGGTCCATGCAGCTTCACCTTGGAGATGTCTTGCAAGAAGTGAGCAAGCTGAAGCAGGGAATAGGCTAAGGCAGCTGCACCCTGGTCCGACCATCACAAAGCAAGAGACCGGAGAACTCGAAAGGCAAGGCTCACTAAGCCTTTTATCACTTCATCCTTCAATTAACCCCAAATGTGTTTATGGGCCAGGTTGGCACAATAAACTACCTCACAGTTTCTATTTTAATTTATGCTCATAATACAAAATTTAACAAGAAACATAAGAAAATAACTGAGACTAAAGGAAGAAAAATTAAATAATGTTGGTTTTACTATTGCTGTTTTAGCTACCAGAAATATAGTAGATTTTGAATCAATATGGCATGTGGCAAACATTTTTTCTCCTAAGTACAAACAACCTCTTTCAGAAGATTCATGTCATATGATCATGTTTTTTATTTTGTTTTCTTTTACCTAGAAAATTATTTCCCAGGAAACAAAGTTTACTTTTTTAAACACCTGGCACCATTTCCCTGAAAACTTTGCAATGTGAGTAACTGTCTGCTATGCTAAGTAGCAGAATGAGATCCAAGCAGGAATAGCATTGTAAATGTGTACTCTGTACTAAGAGGAATAGCCATTTACAAAATCACTTTAGAACTTTGGCCCTCCTCTCCCAGAAGAAATCAAAAGCACACTCTATAGCCCTGCTAGCTTTTCTTTCAATGGCTCTCTTTTTTTGTAGGAAAAGCTATCATTTTATCGTGTTATTAGAACTTTATCTTTATTGTTAAAGTATATAATATTTTTGTCCTTGTTTTCTTAATCAAATTGATTATGTTTTTGCAAAAGTATGGAACAAATGTTAGTAAAACGAACAAATTCATAAATTAATAACAAAACACAACAAATGTTCTTAATTTTTTTCAATTATTCCAACATAAGCCAGACATCATACCATTCAATAGCTCAGTCATATCAAGCATTTTTGGACAATCACTACCTCAATCATTTTCAAAACATTTTC